GGAGAGGGAGGAAGGGGGAGCAGGAAGGGAGGGGATGTGACCCCTTCCCCACCCCCCAAAATTCCCATCAGGAGAGCTGGAATGCTGGATGACAGGGACAAGCACCGGGATAAACCCAGGATCTGCCTGGATTTTCCCAATCCCTGCGGATCCACAGCCCTGTCCTGGCTCCTGCCCCAGGAACAGCTCCCAGCAGAGCAGGGAGGGGGGACAGGGACACCATTCCCAAATCCTGCAGGATCATTCCCCAAATCAGGGGTTTCCTTCCCCAAAAAGCCTTTCCCGAGCTCCCATCCCCCCTTTCCCAGCCCCAAGGATCCCTTGGGAACGGGAATTCCTTGAGAAAGGCCTTTATTGGACGGAAGAGCAAAGAAAACAGGGAATTCAATCCACGTGGACACGGAGCCACCAACCCCAAGAGGTTTGGGAATGTCCCACCCCCCTCCAGGAGGGGAGGGGTCAGTGGATCCCAGGAGTCCAAGGATAATTCCAAGGATTAAGACCTGAATGAAACTTCACAGAAATGAGGGGAAAAAAAACCCCTCAAAACAACCAAAGAATCAGCAAAAAATAAAGATTTTCCTTAAGTTACTGGGGAAGGTGGGGGGGGAATTCCCAAGGGATGAGCAACGTGGTCCATAATTCCTGCCTGGAATGGCGAGGGGGGGGGTGAGGTTTGGACACACCTGGGGCCACAGGCACGTGGAAAAGGGTTGGAAAAACCCCAAAACAACCCCCTCCCCCTCAAAAAAAAACAACAACAAAAAAAGAAAAAGTCCAGGATCCTGGAGCTGCCAAAATCCTGCTCGGAGCATTCCTGATCCCAGAGCATTCCCAGACTCCTGAGGGTCCAATCCCCCCTTCGGGAAGGGCTCCAGACCCCTCCTGCCTCCAGCTGCCCCCTCCCTGATTTTATGGACCCCGAGGATCCCACCCAACCCGGGGCAATAAAATCCCTCCCGCCCCCCAATTCCAGGCGATCCCAGCCAATTCCAGCTTCCCGGAGCGCGGGGAGATCCCCCCCAAAATCCCTTTTCCAGAGGAGGCCGTGAGGGACTCGGGAGCCCCCACTGGAAAAAAAAAACAACAACCCACCACCCCTTTCCATCCAAAAATCAAATCCAAATCCCTGCCCAGAATTCCCAAAATTTAGGAGGGACGAGGCGGTTCCGCGGGAGGAGAATTCTCGGTGGGGGTGGGCCCCCGAATTCCAGCTGCTTGGAGGGTTGGGGGTTGTTGGAATTCTCCATGTACACCCGGAATGGGGGCTGCTCCGGCCTCTGGAAGGCTCTGGAAGGCTCTGGAAGGCTCTGGAAGGCTCTGGAATGTTCCGGGAGAGGGTCAGAAAGTCCATCGCTCCTGCAGGGCGCTGTCGGGAGCGTCGGCGTTCGGAGTCTGCCGGGTGGAATCTTCCCCCTTGAGGCTCTTCCTGCAGACGGGACACGTGTCGTGCTGCAGGGGAGCAGGGAAGCAGGGAATTAGGGAATCAGGGAATTATAGAATTAGAGAATCATGGAATTATAGAATTATGGAATCAGGGAGTCATGGAATTATAGAATCATAGAATCATGGAATTATAGAATCATAGAATCATGAGATTGTAGAATCGTGGAATAGAATTACAGAATCATGGAATCACAGAATCATGGAATCATAGAGTTATGGAATCACAGAATCATGGAATCATGGAATCACAGAATCATGGAATCATAGAGTTATGGAATCACAGAATCATGGAATTATAGAATCATGGAATCATAGAATTATGGAATCACGGAGTTATGGAATCATAGAATCATGGAATCATAGAATCCCAGAATCATGGAATTATAGAATCACAAAATCATGGAGTCATGGAATTATAGAATCATAAAATCATGGAATTATGGAATTACAGAATCATAGAATCATGAGATTATAAAATCATGGAATCACAGATCGTGGAATTATAGAATCATAGAATCATGAGATTATAGGATCATGGAATAGAATTACAGAATCATGGAATCATAGAGTTATGGAATCACAGAATCATGGAATCATGAGATTATAGAATCATGGAATTATACAGTTATGGAATCACAGAATCATGGAATCACAGAATTATAGAATCATAAAATCATAGAATCACAGAATCATGGAATCACAGAGGCCTGGACCAGATCCCAGTGGGATGCAGCTCCATCCCCACCACTGGGAGGAAATCCCAGGAGCTCTGAGATTTGCAAGACATTTACATATGATCTACCAGGGATGGAATATCCAGGGATCAAAGAATTCCTGCTGGGAGCAGGAGCTCTGGGATTTTTGAGTCATTTGTGTGGTATCTCCTGGGGATGGGGCATCCAGGGATCAAAGACCTGGGATTCCCACCACCCTCCAGGCCTTCCAGCCAGTTCCTACCCCCCCAGAGCACCCCTATCCAAGCCTTTTCCAGGAGCATCCCATGGGAAACATTGTCCCAGGCTGTGCTGAATTCCAGCTGGACACATCCACCCCTTCCCCTCATCCCCTGATCCTTAAAGGAGCTCAGCTTGGTCCCACAGGACCTGCCCCTTCCCAACCCCTGCTGGCTCTGATCCCTCGTCCCCAGAGCTGCCATCCCGAGGGGAATATCCCGGGTTTTTTTGGGATCTCACCAGCTCCAGCCAGGGCACGATGCAGCTGCTGTGGAAGACGTGGTTGCAGGGGAGCTGCCGGACCTGCTCCGCCACGGAATAGTCCTCCTTGCACACCGGGCACTCCAGCCCCGTGTCTGCAGGGAAACAGGGAATGGTGGGAATGAGGGGGCTCTGGGATTTGGGAGGTGGTCAGGGAGGGGCTGCTGGGAACGGGATGGGCAGGGATCAAAGGAATGTCACCGGGAACAGGAGCACCGGGATTTCTGAGTCGTTTGTGTGGGGTCTACCAGGGATGGAATATCCAGGGATCAAAGGATTCCTGCTGGGAACAGGAGCTCTGGGATTTCTGAGTCGTTTGTGTGGGATCTCCTGGGGATGGGATATCCAAGGATCAAAGAATTCCTGCTGGGAACAGGAGATCCAGGATTTTCAAGCCATTTGTGTGGGATCTACTGGGGAAGGAATATCCAGGGATCAAAGGAATGTCACCGGGAACAGGAGCTCTGGGATTTCTGAGTCATCTGTGTGGGATCTAGCAGGGATGGAATATCCAGGGATCAATAAATTCCTGCTGGGAACAGGAGCTCTGGGATTTTTGAGTCGTTTGTGTGGGATCTACCGGGGATGGAATATCCAGGGATCAAAGGAATGACACCAGGAACAGGAGTTCTGGGATTTCTAAGACATTTGTATATCATCTACTGGGGATGGAGCTTCCAGGGATCAAAGAATTCCTGCTGGGAACAGGAGCTCCGGAATTTTCAAGCCATCTGTGTGGGATCTACTGGGGATGGGGCATCCAGGGATTGAAGAATTCCTGCTGGGAACAGGAGCTCCAGGCTTTAGAAGCTGGGATCCATCCACCCACATCAAATCCCCTGGGGATGGGGCATCCAGGGATCAAAGAATTCCTGCTGGGAACAGGAGATCCAGGATTTTTGAGTCATTTGTGTAGGATCTACTGGGGAGGAAATATCCAGGGATGAAAGAATTCCTGCTGGGAACAGGAGCTCTGGGATTTTTGAGTCATTTGTGTGGGATCTACTGGGGATGGAATATCCAGGGATGAAAGAATTCCTGCCAGGAACAGGAGCTCTGGGATTTTTGAGTCATCTGTGTGGGATCTACTGGGGAGGAAATATCCAGGGATCAAAGAATTCCTGCTGGGAACAGGAGCTCTGGGATTTCCACATTTATATATGATCTACTGGGGATGGAATATCCAGGGATCAAAGGAATGTCACCGGGAACAGGAGCTCTGGGATTTCTAAGACATTTGTATATTATCTACTGGGGATGGAATATCCAGGGATGAGAGAACTCCTGCTGGGAACAGGAGCTCTGGGATCTCCCTCGGTGATCCCGGGGGGTCCCTTCCAACTTGGACAGTCCAGGATTCCAGGATTCCCAGCCTGCCTGTGCTCTGCAGGCTCAGTGGAATTCCAGCTGGTCCTCGGCTTCCCGGAGAAGGGCAGGACACAGGGGGGTGTAAAACCATGGGATAAAAATATCCCGCCTGGAATTGCCAGGTTTGACCATAATGGAGGGATTGGATTCCAGGAAGGGAGGGGCTGGGAGGGGGAGGGAAAAAAATTCCCGGGATTTTTAATGGCAAAATAATCTTGGGATCGTTCCAAAACACCCCCAGCTCCCGGCTGGCAGAGCATTCCATGACATTGCCAGGCTGGAATACGCCGGGAGCCGGTTGGAAAGGGAAGAAGGGATGAGCTGAGAGCACAAACAGGGATTTGGGGATGGGAAAAACCATCCCTTGGGAGGGTGGGAAAAGCCCAGGAATCTCCAGGATCATCCCTAAACATCCCAGGGAAAGCAGGGAGTTGATCCCAAGGCACTGCCTGTTCCCTTTTTCCTCCTCCCTCCCAGATTTGTCCCAAATGCCATTTTTATCTCCCTCGGGCTCCTGGGTGGGAAGCTGAGAATTCCCATATGGATTCCAATGGGGGGGGGGGAAATACATTCCAAAGCTTCCAGGAATGCACTGGCATTCTGGGATTGGGGGGGAAAATACATTCCAAAGCTTCCAGGAATGCACTGGCATTCTGGGATTGGGGGGGAAAAT